TGAGAAGTGTGTAGAAAGTCTTTTAAAATGAGCGACGGTTGACGATTGTCTTTGTTTATTCGTCCATCGTTTAGTAAACTGGTTGTTGTAAACAGGGAAAAGTGATGAGTGATAGGAATGGTATTTTTAGTTAATAAAAATGTGATGTTACAATAGTGTTTATCAGTAAAATGTATTATTCTGTGCATGTAGTTTTTATAATACATTCGATTACAAAATGTTCCAAAAATGTTGGCCGATTGCTTTACTAAGCGAGGCTTAATGCCTCAATAAACAAAAGAAAATGTTTAAAATATAGAAACAATATTTAAAACTGTTTTAGCAATATTTCAAGGTGTATTCGAGAAACATTTATCCTGCGCTGTTTGGTCTATGTTGTGGGTCATGTTTTCAGGAATTTATACATTTTTTTAAATTTTTGTTGGTGGTTTTTTTCGTATTACTGAATATATTTCAAAAGTCTTAGAAAACCTATAAACATTGATGATCTTTAAGAACCGCGGTTGTGTTGCAAAGTTATTATTTAGAGCGATCACTGATAACTTTTTAGTCGCAAAAATGGAGCAAAAAAAAAAAATTAATTTATAGCTCAAAACGACACTGTCGTTGGACGGAATAATTAAAAAATTAAAACTAAATAACTCTCCTATTTTTTCCTTTAGTAATTTTAAAATTCAAACATTTTGATACAATTAATAGAAAATATATTACACTTTTTTTTTAATATTTTAATTAAAAAGTTTATATTACAGTGAAAAAAAATGTAATTTTAAACAATTAATAAAAACGAAGCTATTAAAGATAATGACAAATCGACGTTTAACCAAAACCTATTCATTTAAACTAAAAATGTTTTTTAAAAAAACAATTTATCTAACTAATAAGTCTTTAATATGCTTTACAGTGATTGTAGAAATCTCATTTTTTTTTAAATATTTCAAAAGGCTCTTTTGATTGAGTTATAAACTTCAAAGTTCAGTCAAATTTTATTTTACCAAAAAAAAAAAATAGCTTAACAAGCATAACTAAATTAATATACATGTTGCTATAAGATATTCCAAAACCATCCCACCCTAAAACCTGTTACTGAAGGGCCGAAAAATCACAATGGCCTTTAAATATTTTTGTACGGTAAAAATAAAAAATGATTCACATGGGTGGTTTTATCATAACTGTAAAAAAATCGTCAACAAGTCAGTGGCCGAAATTATCATGCACTGGGTATCTGAAAAATAGTCACAGTCTTTTGGCTTTGTACAATATTTTTAACGCAAACGAGCACTGCATTTCGTTTATGCAAACGGTGCAAAATTTAAACGCACATCGAATCACACACAAGTGTTTTTCTAAAGTAAAATAATTGTGATTTCGAGTAAACGCTTAGGCGAGAATTCAGTAAACAACAATTTAATAAAAAAATTCTGAACTAGGTGTCCCTTTTGAAACACATGCACCGATGTGCGATAATATACAAAAACTTACTTTCTAACAATTGAAATAATTAATACACATACGCATGGACTCATTCATTAATGACTTATTGTTTCGCATTGGTGTACAACGAAAAATCCCTTATTTTTTAAACGTTTACCACCAATTTTAAATTGATGAACACAAACATGGCATTTTTGAATGATAATTTTTCTTATAGAATTAGACGCTCGAACCAAATGTTTTCATCAGAGTTCAATGCGATGGAGGGCTCGAATAAATATTTCTCGAAATTTCACTAGTCCAGTACTCTTTTTCAACTTTTAGAAATTTTGTGATTTATGCAGTTGCTACTCGAAGGAATTGGTCCAGCATTAAAAAAGTTACACTGTATACAGACACGAAAAAAGCCCACATCCCAGTTAAACCAATACCTTCGCTGCTCTGCATCGAAGCTAAAAAGTTACACGCAGTGAAATAAGAAAAAAAAACATACTTTTTCTTGGTAAAATATTATTGGTTTTTTTTTTTTAAAAGAAAAACGATAAAAACAATTTAAAACGTAAAAAAAAAAAACTTTTACATAATACTAGTAATAACTGGACTCGTCCTATTTTCGAACTACGATGAAAACATAATATTTTGTGTCCAATACTTTAAAACATTGACATTTATTACATTGACCAGGCAACCCTACCATCTCTATAGATTCCCGGTGTCATATTTCTACGAAATAACAACCCTATTCGTGGTTGATAAGTTGAAAATTTCCCAAATTTGCCTTTTGAAGCCTCTAACCCGACGGAGAGATGCAGCTAGAGAGACCCGCGACCCGGAGTTGTAATCGATGAGTCACGCCCTATCTGCTGCTACTAATCGTGCCAGGGTTCCCCAATAAAATATCCATGTTAAAAAATTAGCGGCCTCATTTTAATCCAACACGAACCAATATGTCCCCCGGTCATCGGAATCCCACAGAAGCCTATTATGTTTATATTATATATACATGGTGATAGATTTCATTCGTTAATTATCATTAATGCGCTTTTTTTTCCTTAGGATATTGCAATTTTTTTTATTTTGAAAATATTTTTTTACACAAACTTTAAGCGTCTCCAATTATCAAAACTACAAAATGTGAGAGTGCCTTATCCTTTGTTTAATGTTCTTTGGTTTATCGAAAATATTTGAATTACAGGTTTTAGTAGCAAATTTGAAGGTACTCGTATATTGTTGTAAGGAGTATGTTTTACAACGATATACTAAATTTTGTTTTCATCATCGATGCGCAAAAAGTAGTCAAAGCAAACGAACGCAGCCAAATAACAACTCAAAACGCTATTTACTTTTTCTAGGGGTCCGAAAAAGGTGGATTTTTTAAACATAAATGCCAAATTATACGCTTGATTTTCTTTTTAAATAATAAATATTCGGCTGAAAATACAGAGCAATCTTTAGCATTTGATATTTCGATTATTTTTTTATGCAAACTACTTAGAGTAACGATAATTGTGTAAAATAGTGAAATTTTTCATAAACATTCAAACAAACGTTGGCCTTAATTGACAGTTGTTTAACTATACTTATGACGTCAGTCTTCTTCTTTTTTTTTTTGTGATACAGCTGCGATACGGTTGATGATACACAAAGACAAATTTATACATCTTTGGTAAAAACATATTATATTATAGGCAAAGCGTGAAATTTAGTACCTACATTTTTTATATGCAACTGAAAATTCTCTTTGTTGTAATTTAATGGATAAAAAAAAAAGGCAAAGGTAATAAGTAAAAAAAAATCATAACAATGGAAAAACTTCAGAACGGCCATTAGCGGTTCCATTTCGTTGAACTTTATTATTGCTATCATCGTACCGGTTAAATTTTATTTGCCAACACTCTTTAACATCCTCACTAGCTACATTAATATATATTTTATTATAAGTTACATTTTACGATAACTAGTACCGTCATTATGGGTAAAGGTGGAGTGGGCATTTTAGATTGGGCTATTGCTAAATAGCAATCACCTAATATTCTGGTGCCTGGCTGAGATTTGACAACAACAAGCTTCTGGCCGCAAAAATAGTTGCAAAGTATTAAAACTAAAGCTTTAGAAGTTAAAATTATCCATTTGGAAACAGGTTTAATCTTTAGTTTTAATTTCCTCAAAAACAATATTCGTACTAATTGTATGCAATAACTATAGGCTAGTTTTAAGTAAATTATTGTCTTTACAGTGCTTTTATCAATGCCTGGGTTTTAATATTTTTATGTTACATTGATCGTTTAGGTTCCTTGGCTAGTATTGGAATTTTAGAATATTTATTTTAATAGTTTTGTAATTTTCGTATTTTTCCCCTTGATTTATCATCATAGGATTGAGTGTTGAAAGTTACAACGATTATAATATTGGGCATTCCACGCCAAATCACCTGATGTGAGTAAGAGTGGATTTTTGAAATGCCTCAAATTTACATATCCTATGCAGATAGTTCCATCAAATGAGAAAAAGAGCTGTAAGATTTTGAATTTCTCAAATGTTTTGTTGTAGGACTACGAATGTCATAATATCTCTTTAAACAACGGCACTGTAAATACAGTATTATTTATGGTTTAAAATTTGTCTAACGAAGACCAGCAAGTAATTGGCTTAAGAATAAATTTTCAGTGTTTAACAACAACCACATAAGCCAAGGAATACCTCTTCTATTAAAAAGACGTTGTTATTATTACGGAAACAAAAAAAAAAATTATTCGTAGTCCTACAATACAAAATTGGAGAAATTCAAGTGAAAAAAAGTCTCCGTTACAAAACTTTCACCAAATGTTTTACATACATATAAGTAAGTGCTGTGAAAATTTCAGAATTTTTGGTTCATGTCATAATATATTTACAGGCTCTTAAATATATCACTTTTTAGGAAAATGCCAAACTTTGAGGTTACCTATACATAAACAGAAAAAATTGTAGGTGGAAATATCACTACTAGCACTATACTAAGTTGAAAGAAGACTGATTGGCAAGTATTGTATGATCATATGCTAGCCACCAGGACAGTCCAAACCAACACAATAAGAAATCACCTATGTGTGGACCAGTATCAACAGATTAACCCACAAAAAGAAACCACAAAACTTCATAAAACTTATACCTTCCTAGCTAATGCGTCGAAGCGGAAAATAAAGCTCATTTTACTATTTTAAAATCATGTAAAGATGTAATCTTATACAAACAAACATATCTAAATACAGAATATAATATAGTACAAAACAAATGACATTAAAATCATTACTAAACCATAAAATCGATAAAATTAGAATTATTCAATTTTTTGTAGATTTTATCGTTTATTTTTCTATTAACTTCTTCAGAGGGTATTTTAGTGAGTAAGTTTTTTTTTAATAACTAAATGAATTGCAAGTCTAATACTGTTTGAAAACTTGCTTAACAGCTATCATGGTAAGCAATTTGAATAAACCTAATATTTGGTTTATTATTAAATGTACTAATAGCATAGATACAGTTGTTGTGCTCGGAGGAAAAGAATAGATAGAATTTTTCAACATTATAAGCGTACATATATATATTTTTATACATATTTTATTCAGGACATGATATCATTTTCCAAATAGGCATTCGCTGGTACCTTATAATATTATAATCCGCACATATAAATACATAGTATATTGTTATAATATTATATTGTTTAATATTACCATAATGACATCTACTAACCTAACGGTACGATCATAAGGGTTTAACGATTTATCTATAATCTCTTAACCTATACAAATATACAATAATAATAATAATAATAATAATTTAAAAAGTTTATCATCGTTTTTATAAGTAAAACGACTTAATAATTATAGTAATGTAATATATATAATATATAAAATGACTAGATTTAATAATTATTTAAAAATGTAAATGCGACGACGACGGCGGCGACCGTAACGTTGGTTTAATATCTTATCTCTATAGTCTTAATACGTTTTAACAATAATAAATAATAAATAATAATAATAATAATAAGACAATACATTGCAGCAATGCAGCAGCATACACACATTACACATTGTAGATAAATAATAATATTATGTAGCTAGTAGGTGTGATATTAGAGTTGGTTAAGTCCACGTAAAATACTTAATAAGTGATAATGATGTTATTTCGAAGAAAATCAAACAAAAGGGTAAATCGTGTAGATGTAGAAGACACGAGTGGGTTAAAGAACAATAAATAATAAAATTGTCACAAGTAAAATAATTTTTGTACAGAGATTACAAAGTCGGCCCCATTGCCGCCGTCGCATTTCTACGTTTATAATAATAATAATACATTATAAAATATGTCGTTTTCGTTGAATAAATTTAAAATGTGTATGTATATATTTATATTTTATATCCCGTTAAATGTAATACAGTATTAAATGCAAATGAATATGATATCGATGATTGTCAATATGAAATACACAACGACTTACCACCATCACAATATTGGTACACTATTTATCAACTAAACGCAACGACTAAATTTAAGGGGTTTTTATTTTTGTTTTATTCATATATATCTACTATAATTACAATACAATATAATAAAGAACAGCCGGTCTCGAAGCGAACCACACTACGAATCGTTTTTTGGATTTTATAGAATTTCCTTTTTTCCAAACCGATTTAAATAATATAATAATTATTGTTATTAATTTTAACAAATTCAAAACGGAAAACTTTGTCACGCTACAATATTAATACGAACAAAATTTCAGTAAATACGAACACATTTATCTAAAACTCTTATCTTTTTAATAATTTCAATCTAATCGTTTTGCAAAAACTAATTACTATAATTTTTTTCCTACCGAATTTTTCGCTACAACGTCTACCAATATGATGACTAATCCATATAAAATATTAATATTATTATTATTATCATCATCATTATGTACAAATAAAACGGGTTATAATATTTTATTATAGGTCGTTCGGCGGGCAGTTAATAGAAAGAAAATAAAACGAGCAATAATATATATATATATATATATATATATATATATAGGTACATAGAGGGGCGGACAGCGTGGTGGGAACCAAGTCGATATTGGTAATGGCGAATTACCCTGTGTTAATCACAACAACAAATATTAAAAAATAAACAAACAAAACAGGTAATAATAACAACTACGGTAGAGTAGAAATGTAGAACAGTTGCGGGTTTACGGTAATGGCAGTTGGCTATGCGAAGGACAATGCGTTGGCAGTTGGATATCTTTTGTGTTAGTTGAAATGATGTCTTGCAAGGAGACACGTCGCGAACCCGGACATCCGGTTCGGTTGTCAATGAAATCGCTGTTTGAAATAATCATCAGCCCTGTCTTCGGACGTTTTGCGAAAGTTTCAAATAGAATTTTAAACTAAAAGCCAGAGGGGAGGTCTTTGCTTTGTCAAACAGCAAGCAGGACGACGGCGCAAAAGGAATACAATGACATCACTTGGAATATTTCAATATCTACTCATCGGCCAACGATATCGAATATATTATAAACACAGACGGGGAAATCATCCCTATCCCATACAAGTCCATTAGGTGATCTTAGGAGACTGTTTACATGAAATCTGTAACCATTCAATACGGTTTTGCCGTCAAGTATGCGCACGACTCGATAAGTAGAAGAAAAAGGTATGTTCTCTGCCTTTTTTTTTTTTTTTAACTTAATATTTCTACCGACTCGTAAGCGGCCGACGTTATTGTTATTATTTACATATATACGCGTAGGTTATACATTACATTACGATAATAGTTAATAATTATAGCTGTTGTAAATCGATGATATTCAAGTTCAAGTCCAAGTTCAAGAAGAAGCTGCTTTGTAGTTGATCGGTCCGTACGAACGGTAGTCAACGTCGGCGTACTCCAAATCGCTGGCATCTCCTGAGTAACTGCCGGGCGTGTAAGGCTGCAAAAAAAAAAACACAACCAATCTTTTAAATATGGATTTCCCCTTTAAGTTCAATCAACATCTTGCTCTGGTATCGTTCAATTTACATGTCACCGTTTTTGTGGACAAGTATTCACAAAAGTTGCCCGTGCAATGAGAGATAGACAGAGAGAGAGACAGACAGACAAAGTAAGCCAAGAAAGGCAAATTGTTTTGTACAATAATTTAATTTGCGGGACGTGGTCACACTGAGTCGAGGAGGGTTTCAGTGATCGGTAAACGACGAATTTCGCTATCTTTATTCAATCTAGGCAGACACCGATGGAGCAACTAGAGGAGGGCTAGGGAATACAGCGATGCTCGGTTCTAAAACTATAATTTCTCATAAATAATTTTTTTCTCTACCGGTGGCTACTCAGTGATTTCAGGAGGGTTTCGGTTTGTTGACGTTCACAGCAATCCCATTTTGCTTTTATAGGGAGTGCATCATCTGGCTTTATGTAATCTGTGGGGGGTACTGACCGGCCGTCGGGAGGATTAATCCCCCAACGTAAAACTACATCTTCTAAGCATCCAAAATCCATCGTACAAAGAAGAATATTGTCTTTTGGATTCAATATATTACATCAATTACTATATATATATATATATATTTGTACATAACCCGTTTGACCGTTTATTAAATAGAGAACATACGAGGCGTCTAGTTTCAAAACCAGCTAAAACAATTTTTGAAAATTTTCACAAACAACAAATTTGATTTTTGAACCAATATATTAGTCACAATGGGTTTTCTTTGTGATTCCATAATAGTTTTTCATACCGTGTAATTAACAGTGTTGCCACACGTTTTCAAAATGTCGTTTAGCTGGTTTTGAAACATATGTTTTTTTAATGGCTTTTATTGGCATTAGTGATTTATTAGTGCGGCAAGCAGCAACGAACAATAAATACAAAAACAATCGACTTACAAGTGCGCTTGTGTTTGTTAATGGATATTGTTAGCACAGTTTAAACGTCTATCTCCCGACCGACGTCCCGGTTGAACTTAACCGAAGACATGGGATCGGCCGCAGCTGGTGTCTGATAGGTAGCGCCGCCGGGACCGTGGCCGATGACGGACACCTCGACGGGCGTGGTGAACCGGTTGAAGCGGCCGCCGCAGTCGTCGCTGTCGCTGTCGTCGTCGTCGTCGGCGTAGCCCCGGGTCCGCCGCCAGGTGGCCGACCCGCCGGGATGGTAATAGGAGGACGACAGGCTGCGCTTGGGCGGCTGCCGCTTGTGCCTGGCTCCGGCGGTGCCGGTCGTGCTGGGGCCGGCATAGCTGTTTTGGCCGCGATGGCCCAGCGTCACGTAATTGTTGCCGTTGTTGTTGGCGGCCGCCGTGGCCGACGCGCGTCTTCTGTCGTAACCGGTTTTGTAACCGTCTCCGCCGCCGCCGCCGCCACCGTCGACCACCATGCGGACACCGCGGCGGCGTCGGGTGTTATTGTATTGATGCGGCTCGTCATCTTCGGCGGCGGCCATCGCTCGGCCGCCAATGGTGTTGCTACGGCCGTAGCCGCCGGTCGAGTGCGACTGCCGCCTTCGTTTGGACGACGACGACGACGACGAGTGCACGGCGATCGGCCCGTCCGAGTCGTCGTTCTGCGGCGGCTGAATGCTGCCGGGGTGGTAATACTTGCTGTTCAGCGTGGACACGCCGTCTTCGGGCTGCAGACGCCTCTGGCTGTACATCTGCAGCTCGGGCTGTTCCCTGCGGACGGACACCCGGGTCATTTCTATCGACTGGTAAGCGGCCGGAGCGAGCGGACGGTGGTGAGTGATGATCGGCGAGTCGTACGGGTCGTAGTACAACTGCTCTTGCTGTTGCAGTTTCGGTTGTTCCGTAATCGGCTCTTGCGGCTGCTGCTGTTGCTTGAACCACACGCCGTGGGAGTTGCCGCGAAATTTCAGTCTCTCTAAATGATAGCTAATGGTTTCCAGGCTCCGGCAGCACAACTGTTGTCAGAAACAAACACACACACACACACACACACACACACAACCGTAATGTTAGTCAATGTTATTCGATATTAGTCAACGGCAAAAGCTAGTTTATATACACAACCCATCGACACATAATAGTATAAAAGCGCCGCACAACAATAATAATATACAAAAGCGTTCAGTGTCGGATCCGTGTTCAGTGTGGGGTACACATTTTGCAAGTTTGGTTTCATTAGATTTGAGTTACCATTGATTTTGTTCGATTTGCTTTAACAAATAAAGAACTATTAGCCACACACCGTGGTCCGTAGGCGTACCATGATGCATTTCTGTGGGGGGGGGGGGGTCTGCAGCAATTACGAGAATTGTGAGGGATATTCCCATATTTGTGTGTTACGAACGAAGAAAAAAAAACTGAAGCTAGAGTTGAAGCTGGAGTTGGAGATTAAGATAAAGTTAGAAATGGAACTTGAGATAACAGCTTGCTTACGAGTCTGCAACCGCGGGAGAAATTTTATGTTTTTTTAATTATATATAATGATATAAAGATGTTAAGGATATATTAGGATATACGGATATGGAAGGACATAAGGATAGGTATATAAAGATAAATTTTCGTTAGGTTTCTTGGTAACGCTGTCAACATGTTTTTTTATGGAGTGAAAGGAACTATAGCTTCCTTAACCCTCCCATCTCGCGCCCCAGGTAGATCCGACACTGAAATAGTTGTTAAAAAATTCATAAAAAAATAATAAATAAGTATACACTGAACATAATATGTACATTAAAAAAGAAGAGAAATAAAATAGAGAGAGAGAGAGGAAACGACCACCACCGATTCACCGCGTTCATTGTTATCGTACGGTTCGACCAGGTTTGTATACCTTCTGGTCGTTGATCTGAAGTAAATTTTCATAGGTCTCTTGTCCGAGTCGCTTGCGGCCCCTGGGCGCCGGCACCGGACCAAAAATCGAACCCCCCGTCGCCTGCTTGTTTTGGTCTCGGTCACCGTCGTTGTTGTTCGGGTCCGTCGCGAGGGCTTCTCCTGCCGGACCAGCGACGTTGTTCGACTTGACTCTCAACGACCTGAACTGCTGGCTGCCGGTTTTGTTTCTGACGGGCCTTTGCAAAGAACTAAATCTTTTGGCGCCGCCATCGCCTTTGTCGTCCAACGAGGCCACGGCTTGCCGCAACAACGACACGTAGCCGTTGCCTTTTGGACGGTGGATCAATAGGGGCGAGACGACCGGCAAAGGGGGTTTAGATTTTTGATGTGCATCAGCCGTTGTGGTGGTCGTCAACGGTGTTACGGTAGTGTTAGAAAACTGGACGAGAGCCGATTAATTGAAAAAAAAAAGAAAGCAAAACGAAACAAAATAAATAACACAAAAACAACAAACGAAAAATAAGCAACTAATCAAATAAAGGGTTGTCTAAAGACACCGTGCAAACGACACTTGGCGCTCTAGTGAACAATAACGCAGCAAGTTATTGTTCCTAAAAGAAATAATTGGAAAATGTAAAATTTACTAATTTGTAATCTCAGAAATGTATTGTTGTATAATTTTTTTGCACTAATCAAGATGTTTGTTAAACAAACAATTGATAAAACCATTCGTTTTACAACTGTAGCGGTTTATAGTAGAAATTATTTCCATATTACATCACAGCTTACGGAGTTGTCCACTAGGTCGCGTTGTTACTCATCGTTTGCACGAGTTTAGAGAGCGGATTTTAAGGTTTTAACAAATATCCTTCTAATATTCCATTAAGACCCGGTAAAATATTTCGTTGCAAAAATGCTTAAACCCAAAAATGATCTTTAACTCTCCAATGTAACGTTATGCTCTAATATTTGAAATGATAAATTTTCAATAAATTCTCTGCTCAATAAATTGTTCACATTTTACACAACAGAGCTGCGTAAAGCCAATAAATCTACACTCTCTTAAAAAATACCTAGTAAATCTAAAACACATGTATAATATGCAAAATCAATTTTTTCTACAAATTCTATGGTTGCTTTAACCTTGTTGAGCTCTACAATAAAGCTAATAATAAATACCTGATTGAGCGCCGGTCGCATGCCGTGGAACGGCAGATTCTCGTAGAAGTTCTTTGGTCCGTTTGATCCATTTTGCGAGGACGCTCCTGTCCCGGGCTCTTCATCGTGCTGGTGATTTCCCGGCCAGTCTAAAAAAACCAAACGCCCGTTCAAGGCACAATTAACGTGGTGAAAATCGAACATTTTACATTAATGTCATCGTTGACAGCTATCCGACTGTATTAAATAATACGCAGTGTGTCCCACGAGAGAACGACACTGCGCAGAAACCACAAAACGCGTATCTGCACAAGCGCAGTGAATGCGTTTTGGTTTCTGCGCAGGGCAGTTCTCTCGTCGGACAGATTATTTCTAGATCTTACCGCGGATTCAACGGAATGCACCCATTTACAAACTGCACGTGCACGATTCATGCAAACACACACATACACACAAAAAATATAATGCTAAATTATTTTCAATTATATTTTACGGGTTGTACCGGTAAAGTAAATGGCACCGTGTCAAAGGAACAGCTACAAAAAAACAAAATAATTCATGCATGTCGAATGGGGTTCACTGTGAAATTCTCAAAGACGCCTCTTGGGTCTGCTACGCATCATCTACTAGGTTTCATTAAAATAAACCTTAGCTAATTTCTCCTCTTCGTGGAAAACACTGAATCGTGGATATGCTTTTAGCGTTATTGATATGGAAAGTTATGTTTCATATTCAAATTGAAAGAAACCAAGAGGACGTCCAAAGAACCGATGGACAGATGGAGTAAATCAGGACTTAAAGAAATTAAGGATACTAAATTGGAGTACACCATCGAGAAGAGTGGAAGGAGGTGACGGTGGCGGCCAAAACTCTTGAACAGTTGTGATGCCAAGAAGAAGAAAAAGGCTGTGGTGCCAAATGTGACCATTGGGATGGAGATACTGTACACGGAGGGAGGGGAATGACATGGGACACCAACCGTGTTCTAGGCTGACCTTATATTTATTGTTCTCTTTGTTTAAGCCAATGCATACATCATGAAGTAACGGTTATAATTTTGATGAACATTCATCCAGATAATTTCCAACACTGATTGAACGTAATAAGGAGTTTGTGAGACATTTTTACAGCTTACATTGTTACTGTTGCATTGGAAAGACTACTACTGTAGTGTAATACAGTAGTGGATCATCTGTCTATGTTTTTTTTAACAACGTACCTGTTTTTTGAAGAGCTTTCGGATGCACCCTAGGGGGCTTTGGGTCGTCGCTATTCGACGGCCGAGACATTTGCCTGGGAGGGGGCGGCGGCGGGGGTTGCCCGGGTGTGGGTTTTTTCGACAATCCTCCTACCGCGGCCGTCCTACCGTTGGTCGCCACTCCAGGCCGGCCACGTCCGGCGGTTATGTTCATCCGCCTTATGCGGTCGGCTCTGGCCGATTGCGTTTCGTTGGCCGCCGGTTCGTTGCGCAACGCTATCATGGTGTTGTTACTGTCGGCGGCCGGCACCGCCGCGTCTTCTTGCTGGGCCTTGGTGGACGACGGACTGCCGGTGGCGAAAGATCCGTCGCATTGGCGCCGCTGCTTGACGTGCACCAACACGCCCGGCTTGAGCGGCCATTTTCCCACGGCCGAACCGGGCGGGTCGCCGGCGGCCCCGGGAGACGAGGCGGCGCCCGCCAACGGCCGTTCGGCCGAAAACTGCCTGTGGTCCGCCGGTCCGTCCTGAGGCCCGCCCGAGGCCAGTGGACTGTTGTTGGTCGCGGTTGCGCTTCCCTCGGGACTGTAAACACGCAGGAACAATACGGGTGCACGCATATTATTTTCACGTCGAATCCAAAGACAGGTGCGGACTGCGGCGGTTGCGGTAGATAGAAACGCAGACAGAGAAGACGACAGACTGCCCACCACCAAAAGCCTTTGAGCTTTACCAAAAAAAAACCAACTTACTTTTGTCGCCTTTGCTGTTTTTTGGGGCCCAAAGAAACTCGGCGATCGCTCAAAAACAACAAACTTCGACTGCGCCAAGAGGATATTCGGGACGACGAAAAAGACGGCGTGTACTTCTGTTTAACGTCTATATATATGTATAAAAAGCAACGGACATGATAAAAAAACAAGCGAACGTCACAACCGAGCAAACATGACATTGTTTTACAAAGGTAGGTATATGATTAACTAGTTACTAAGCCAGTCCGGTTTTTCAGTTCTCCGTTGTAACTATATTCGATAAGGTAACCCTAGATTAATTTTTCCGGTAGTTTGACATCTCGAAACTACTGTCCAGAAGGTCAAAACAATATCTCTAGCTTTCTACGACCGGTTTTGACGTATGGGTGTGAAACCTGGTCGGCGACTAAGGGAGATGAGGAGAAGATGAACATCTTTGAAAGAAAAGTATTACGTGGAATTTATGACTCTGTAATGGAGAGTGGAGAATATAGAAGAAAAACTAACCAAGAAATGTACCAAATGTTTAATAAACCCATTATTAGTTCGTATCTAAAGAGCAAAAGGTCAGAATGGGCGGGTCCTATTTTGAGGTCGGAAGGTAAGGCAAAAAATATGTATACTTGAAAACTCAACGGAAAAAGACCTAGGGGTTGACCGAGACAAAGATGGACGGACAGGGTGAAGATGGATCTCACGGAAATCTCGGTTGAAGCAAGGATTGAAGACAGCGAAGACAGAGATAGGTGGCGAGGAGTGGTTGAGGTAGCAAAGGTCCTAAATGGGCTGTAAAAGCTGGAAAGAAGAGGTTTGACATCTAAATCCAAATATTATGTCAAACTATACAGCCTTGGATGGAATAAGAAAACCAGCTTCGGTAAACAAGGGTATTTGGAGAAATATGGGAGTCTAAAAGAAGAGACGGTTCATAGGAGGTCACTTAAATGAGAGAGCAAACTGTTTTCATTAGATTTAGAGTTGGTCAGTCCGAGAGAAAGTGATTGAAATTACAAGGGGTTTCGTTAAGGCGAAGGGTACAATAGGAAGATGAGTTAAAATAAAAGGAATTGAAGGCATGAGTGAAAAGAAACCTACGACCAACACAAAATCTGGTAAATGAGACAATAAGGGATCTAAGCAAAGAAAAGTTCCAGAACCATGGACGACGGGAAATTGCTGGAGAAATCTATCCATACCAAGTAGCATAATTTCCAAGAAGATAATTCCACTTAGATCGCCAGATCTAAAAACAGCTTTAAGAAAATTTGGGAGAGATCACAGAGGGTGTAACTTAGAAAGAGGAGGGATAGGTGTAGTGACTAGTAGAGAATGCTAACTTATATGCAACTTCATTACCATCCAGATATTTTGTTTAAACGGTTAACAAAATATCAGATGGTTAAACTACCGGATAAAATAATACGGAAGTTAGCTATCCAGCATAGTTAAATAAAGAATTGAAAAGCCGGACATCAGGCCTTCGGAAAAAATAGGGGAAAACACTAAAACTTACCTTTGAGTCCGGTTCGTATCCTAAATATTAACGTTAACGGCTACATGCATATATGCCTGGAGACCTCGACAAGCCCGGTAGGGGAGGAGTTTATCAGGGGTTGTAAAACAAATACATTAGCTATGAAAAAACCCTGAGACTTTGGCTGGTCCAATGTCAATTCTGTAAAAAGATAAGAATTTGTTGCCTCTAACGTAGGTTATTTCGGAAAGCGATTTTCATTTAAAATTTTCGCAACTAGATAAATTTAATTTGAAAACTGTTCAATACTAAAACGCATTTTTTTTTCATAAAATATGCAAAAAAATATACAATCCGTTTCCAACATAACCTAGTAAAATATCCTAAGAACCTGAATATCTTTATACAAGATTAAAATTGGACCATCCTTAATAGTCAAAATACCCCAAATATTCGCTAACCTAGCAATTTCTTTTAACTGTCCCAACTTCTATTTGGTTTGCGGTTGGCGGATAATACCATAAACCTGAATTTATCAAATTCCTCGGTATAAAATGGTATCTAATTTTCGGATATAAGATATGATTTTCATCGAGAAATGTCTAAAGATTAGATTATTGTTGTACATTTTTGAGAAGACTGTCTAATCTGATGGTGGACAAATGACTCTACTATCAACTGTCGAATGTTAAGTTCTCACAAACTATATCTCTAATAAGTATTTGTAATTTGAAAACTAAAGGACACACAATATGCGGCATCAGCCGGGCTCGTCGCGATCGCCTCAAACGCTCTCTACATGTATCATGTTCGAGATAATATCAACATTATTATTATTTATAATCACATTTTTGACTACCGTCTCGACGCCTGCATCGCCTGCACAACAGGTAGAACAGCAAAATGAGGACAGCCAAAACGATCAAAATCAAAATCGCCAACGCCACCACCACTATCCATCCGCTTTGAATGATGCCCACGCCGCCAAGACCGATCATGACCAGCAGTTGTTTCCACCAAGGTACGTCACCTTTAAAACACAAAAAGGCCATTTTAATGCTAGAAACAAAAAAAAAATGAAATAATATAATATTATAGCTATTATCGTCAATTCACACACTACACCGACGACTATTAGTATTGGTTTTAATTACTCACTTTTCCGGTAAGCTATTAACAAAAAAAAAAAACCAAACGTTTAGAGTGTTATAATGTTAGTATACTGAAAATACATATTTTATTAACAATAATCAATAGATGGGTTAGGTGTGCAGACTCGTGGGCGCAAGTAAGGTAAAATCAAAAGCCAAATAAAGCCACCAATATTTTATCGTAACTACCTTAAACCGTATGTGCCCGTATTAAAAACTTATTTTAGAATTTCAAATATATTTCAAACAAAATCAAGTAATGCAGCTGAATTTATTTGTATACACCTCGATTTGTCTACAATTTTCCTTCCCTCTATCTACAATATCTTCCTTTACCTACCTCAAAATGTATATATATATATATGTATATTCATACAATCCCTCCCCTCTCCTCATATGCTATTAATTTTCCTTCCTTCCTCTATCTAAAATCCCCCAACTATCCTGTCCGTTTGTCACTGATTTCTTATCTTCTGACTCTGTCTTATCTGGAGCCACTATCATCTATCTTGGTCACCAGTATACATGAATATACAGGGTGATCCAACTAACGTAAAACATTCATTTTCTATGAAAACATGAATATTTTGAGAATTTTTTTTCCTTAACTTTTAGGCACATATTTTACTACATATTTCAAAATCTTTTATAATGACTTCCTAGTTGTTAAAATATTATTGCCAATTGGACAATGCAAACATAAATATGAATTATATGTACTACCGGTTTTGGAAAATCGAAGAAACATGATAATTGTTAAGAAGAAATGTAGTATTTTTACAAAGTCGTAGCTAATGAACAGATAAATGAAAATAAAAAAATTCAAACGCTAACATATTTTTAAATTTGTTGTCTACAAATTTATGTAATTAAAAGCATATTTGACCATTAAAAAAAAATCAATAATCCCCATTTTTGGCTTATAAGGATTGGTGATAGAAATTTTTAAAATATTTAAAAATGTAGTAAAATGTACTTACAAGTTAAGGAAAATGTTTTTTTTTTCAAAATAATCATATTTTCAAAGAAAATGAGTGTCTTACGTTAGTTAGATCACCCTGTATATACTACACATTTAACTGTGTACTCAAAAAATGAAGCCTGGCCCCATACGCAATTGAGCACAATGTTTACACTATATTAGCATTCTTTCATTGTGGTATTACTATAAGGTGAATTACTATTATCATATCACAATGAAATATTTATAACATAATCTAACCATCGCTCTCACTGTATATGGCGGCCAAATCACATAATAAATGGAAAGCTATTGAGTAAACTAAAATCGGCAGCCATTTTCTGCGTAGGTCCGAAATAAATGAGTTATTTGTATTTATATATTAATATATGAACGTATAATATGACGTTAGGTTAGGTTAGATTAGGTGGGTTAGGTTAGGTAGGTTAGGTTAGGTTAGGTTTGGTTAGGTTAGGTGGATTAGGTTAGGTAGGTTAGGTTAGGTTAGGTTAAGTTAGGTTAGCACTAAAAGTGACGTAGCGTTTTTACTTTCCAATGAAAATCGGTACACAAAACGGTTGCCATTTTTTTTTAAATCCGAATACGCGTTCCCCATAATACCGAGTTCAGGGTGCCTTCCCCGAAAACCATATGCCCGTTTCAAAATTTCAGAGGGGGGGAATTCGAAAAGCGTTAAACCCGCACATACCTTGTACAATCATGCTGCACATGTCCGAGCCCACGTTGTTGACGACGTTGCAGACGTAAGTCCGCGGTCCGTCGCTGTTGTCGTCGAGGATGACGACACTGACGTTGGTCGCGGCCGAGCTGAGTCCGTCCGCTTCGGTCTGGCCGGCGACCGGTTCGCCCCACGTGACGATTGTCTCCTCCGTGACGGGGAACGTTGACGGCGAGTCCGTGTCGCTCTGGTTGTCGCGCCTGAGCGTGGACCAAGTGAACTGCACTTGTCCCGGGTTGGACGTGACCGTGCAAACCAGTATCCTGCGGTCCGGGTCGTCCGTCTCGACCACGGGCTCTTCGTCTTCGTTGCGCGGGTTGTTCTTGAGTACGGTGTTGATGATGGGCTCGGCTTCGGGGTCGGACACTTTCAACAGTCTCATCTGGCAGCTCGGTTTGTCTGAATTGAAATAATAATAATAATTAATTGAAGAAAAAACACCAGCAGAGCCGGCGGAATCGTCTCCGTATGCCAGATTAAAAAAATAATATTGGTAAAACGACTACGATGAGTGTAAGTGGTGCCAGTAAACTAGTATATTTATAAATAATATGTAACGCGTGTACGTTCACTGGCGCGACTTGCACTCGTGTTACAACCTAGTTTTTATTATAATATTATGTTACAGTGTTTTTACAATGCCGTTTGGAGACAATTGGACGGTGGAAACCGCGAAATACGTGGATTCGATTAAGGTTGGATTCACCGTATTCGTCAATAACAAATATCTTTTTAATTCCCTTAATATGTAGACAACAAATCTAAAAACAATTTAACGTTGGGATTTTTAATTTTCATCATTCTGTATGTGCTGCCCATAAAATTCATATTTATATTTACATTGTTCAATGGGTGAGACCACCAATAATCAGACAAAATGAAATATTTGTAGATAATGATAGACAAGCGGACCTTGTCTATCTATTCAAACAGTGACGGTGGTCAATATTGTTATTTAATGGGAAACTGTTGTGCTACTGTTGTAAAAACCGAACGAATATTGATATTAAGTTCATATACTTCACAATGTCATAGCAAACGAAGAAATTGATGACAATTAAACATTTAAAACCTAACATTTTTTAATAATTGTTGTCCACATAACAATTCCATGTGAATTCTATAAATTAAAACCATATGTTTCCATTTGAAAAAACTCCAGAAAGTCCATATTTGTTTTACGTATTAGGGATAAAGGTAAAAAAAATTATAATTAGTAAAATATGTGCCTACAAGTATAACATAATATACTACAAAATAGTGAATTATTTTGTGTTTTACAATATTAGTACAAAAATCTAATTCCCCCCCCCCTAAAATTAACACATATGTCATTAATAAATAAATCAGATGCGGACTGGACGGTAATTGAATATGTTTTGGTAAAGTTCTGAAAAGTCTAAGCCCTAAACCCCCAAATTACACGAAGAGTTATCGATGGTTAGGTTAGGTGCTTTACTTTTACTAACTTCCAAATCCTTCTTCCCCGATTTTTAAAGCTTCCTTTTTTACATTTCTGAAATTCAAACCGTTTGCATCAGTTTCGCTCATTTTTCCTGCAACTACAACCTTCCTCTTATACGTCAATTTCTTATATTCTGTGTAACCTACTCATTCGAAACACACATTTTCACAGTCACTTTCGTTCATAATTGTTAGACTTACTACCGTTTTATACAACTTTCCTTTCACCCCGAGCGTCATCTTTCTGCCCCACTACACTCCCGTACCTCATCGGCCTCAACCAACCACACTTTATTCTAGTCACCTTCTTAAAATTCCACCATTCCATTGATCACAAAGGGCTCTCCCCTTGCTCTCCTAGTATAATAATCCCAGTCTCTTTCTATAAACCTCCTCGTTGATGAACTCAAGCTCTAGTGTTTTGTATTACAGTTACTTACTCGCAATCCAATTTTCTTCAACCCCCCCCCCTTTTCGTTTCTATAGTTCATCTCCTGACACACCACGTTCTTGGTGGTTCGTACAATGTAATGCTAGGTATTTTCCCACCTACCCCCGGTCTAGTCCGTCCCTGAACTTGACTTGAAGTTGGTTTTTGTAGAAAATGTGTACTTACACATGACGTCCAAGTAGGTGGTGATGGTAGCGGCGCCGTGCGCGTTGTGAGCCACGCACATGTAGTTGCCGGCTTGCTGTCTGGTCACGGCCGAGTTCAAAACCAGCCAGTTGTTGGAGTTAACGGTGTTCAAGCGGACCATCTGCGAAGAGCCAGATTGCTGTGGAGCCGATTGCTGTTGCGAAGAGACGTTTGCCAAGTTGTTCGAAGATTCCTGTTTCTGGAAGTACCATTCGAAAGACGGACCCGGATGGGCGTCGGCGTTGCAAAACACTTTTTCCGGTATGTTGCCCTCGTTCACGTGCACCACGGACTTTGACACGGACATGTTGGCCGGCGGATCTGCAAGCATAAAGATGCAAAAATCATAGGGAGCTCATCCGAACACTTACAGTCAAAACGCGTCTAACTTAGCTTCGTCACAATTGGATGGGGGGTTAATGTCGGCGTGAATTGGCTTAAAATACAAATTTTAGGAAGGTCTATAGCGTCCAGTCGGCCAAGTATAACGTTAATAGATAAAACACACTGTGAACATGGCCTGAGTACCGTTGGCTTCATAAGACGTAAACATTATTTATTTTGCTTAAGTTAGGTTTATCCTGGAGTATGGTCTCCATTTCAAAATAGGAAAATCAATAGAACAGAATCCGGCACACAATAAAGATTTTTACATAATATGTTATATTATATTCCTTATTTCTGCAATAAAAGTTTACTATTGAGATGTCCACTCTTTCCTCGAGAAGAAAATACCATGATATGGCTAGGATTTATAGTATATTAAATAATACAATATTAATTGCCCAGAAATTTAAAGTCAGATGAGTTTTCACGTTTCCCTTACAAATTAAGAGCACACATTTAGGCGTTTTTTTCGTTAAAAAATGTACTGTAAAAAAACTCTTAGCATAATGCGAATGAAGCGTATTTGGAAAGAGGAGGTACCTGAAAAGAAGCTTCGAACTCATCTCTAAATAGATGGTAAAAAATAAAAAATATTTAATAAGTCGCTGTATTTTGGCAAATTATAGCGTGCCACAATTTAACCACATTAAACGCTAGTCGACAGTTTGTAGCAAAAACAAAAACCTAGTATTTACTATCAATTGTATAGATGTAGAGTCGTAAATTAAATTTAGGCGTTGAACTAAATTAGACGATTTTTGAAATGTAAATATAAACAAATTGGAAATTCATTCTAATTTGACTATACATAAGGGACCGTCGGGGCAATATCCTGACGATAAAAGCCAAACGAGCAAATGTACATAATTTTTCGGTTCGGCGACCTATGATTTGTTGCAATTAACATGGCAAAAAAATGTACTTACATTCGACCGAGAAATGCATGATGGATTCGGGTACGCCTTCGCCCACAGAATTTCCCGAACTCCGGCAACTGTACATGGCGGAGTCGGTTGCCGGATCCAAGCCGGTTCGGCCGGTCTGACCGTTTGTCCAGTTCTCCAAACGCCACACCAACGTTGAACGTACGGCTTCGAAATCGTTTTTCAACCGTTCGGCCTGCATGTATTCCGTAATTATCATGTACCTGCAACGATCCACAAAAAAAAATGAATACACATATCACACAAGTCCTTCCCCAGCCTCCCCCCCCCCAAAAAAATAAGCTTGTTACAGTGTAGTCGGGTTATAGTGGGTCAGGGAAGGTCATAAATCTAATTAATAATACAATGGAACATCAAAAGTGTTTTTCAATTTTTTTTTTGAGGAGTATTTACTTAATAACAAAAAAAAGTTTGACTAAAGATTTTTGAGAAAATTTCATATGTTAAGCTCCTATCTAGATCTAGAGTAGGTCTAATTATCTTACCTTAACCCCCGAAACTACGCATAAAAATAAAATAAAAAGACTCCTCCTACTTGTCTACAGGAAAGAGTTTATGATATTTGTTTTTGGTTTGTCGACGTTTATCGGTAGTACTACGTTTAAAGGATGTCCCATACAAATTTGGAACTGATTCGACTATTTTTAATAAAGTTATAGAGCTATGTGATTTTAAGTTGAAAAACGAGTGAATTTTTTGGGTATTTTTCCAGATTTTCGGACCAATTTTAGTACCTTTCAGGTATGGTTTTGAACAAAAAAAATATGTGTTTACTTTAGTCTGTCCGCGACGTTGTTTATTGGATCGATGGGCACGCCCTGCCTCAACCATTCCACGGTACACAACGGATAACATTCGACGGTACAAGACGCGTTCACGTGGGTGTCGTTGAAAGCCACGCCCTTGTATTGCGGGGGTCCGAGGATGTAGTTGGGGGGAGCTGTAAAACGAATAATTCAATTGACATTAGCATAATATTTTATAGGCCGCGATCAGAGCCAGATTCCGGGTGTCCAAAATTTTCAGGTGATCTCAGTTTTAAGCACGGTAGGATTTACGTTACAAATCCTACCGTGCTAAAAATAATTGAGATCTCAGGCGTATTGGACAAGGTCTTATAAGACAAGGTCTGGACTATATCCGGACCGGTCCTGTCCTATTTTGTTATCACATGTGCGCTCTTACCGTATACTTCTATGTAGACGGGCTCGGACATGGTGAGGCCTCCCAGGTTGTATGCGGCACACGTGAAATTCGCTCTGGTCTCCAAGGAAACGTGGTCGACAAACCATTCGGCGGTGGCCGGCGAACCGTTGGTGTTCACGTTGTAACTGTTGTGGTTGTTCATCATTATCTGATGGCCGTCCCTGTACCACGAATAGTTGGTTGGGAAATCTGGTCTGCCCAAATATTGGGTGTTGCATTTGAGCGTAACGTTGCGACCTTTGATGACGCGGCGTGGACTGAACTCCAGCGTCACAGGACCAGGCGCGACTGTTTATTACATGAAAAATAAACACAAGCGTCGGATCATTAAGCATAATAGGCACTTGTTCATAAGACCACATCAAAACCATATAATGTTCATCAATCATACAATCATGGATATGTTTTCCTCTCCTCTTCCTGACCTATGCCACAGTCTTCCCCTACCCTCTTTCCACCTATCCAATACAAATTTAACAAAAATAATCTTATTCCAACAACGGCTACTCTTTTTCAAATACGGAGTTACCAGACTTGGTTATAAGATCGTGTCTTTCATTTATCATTTTCATTTATCTTCTACATCTCGTTCAAACACCCCAGCTATCCTCATATCACTCTCTATTCCATACCATCGCGGCCTATTATCTCTCTCATTTTCTCCACAATTGACGCAACCCCTAGACTCCCCCTTGTGCATTTATTTCTTATTCTATCTTCCCTAGTCACTCCGCTCGTCCATCTTAATCCATCTCATCCTACCTCTTTCCGCAGCCCTAAAGCATATCCGTGTTGACATACCAACGATGAAATCGACTTACAGTAAACGTCCAGCAGCCTTTGTTCGGACATGCGGGTCAACAATCCGGCAGAGTTGCGGGCGCGACACGAGTAGTTGCCGTGCATGTTCTTCGACACGTCAATCAACACCAGTTCCCTGTCGTTGCACATCATCCTGGACTGTCTCTTGGAACCGTCTCCGGTGTCGTCGTCCTGCGAGCTGCGCATCACCATCATCATCTCCTCGTCGTAGTCGCCGGGCGCCACGTTGTTGGGGTCGTAGTAGAATTTGCTTATGCCGCCGCCGCCGTTGTTCTCGTCCTCGGTCTCCGAATCGTGACCGACCAGCTGACTGCAGTTGGGCAATTTCAGCTGCTTGCCGTTCCAGTACCAGTGCACGGTGGTCAGGTTCAACGACGAGTCGTACGTGCCGTCGGCCTTGACGCCTTCGCCGTCCACGACAACGCCGCCGTCGTCCGGGTCGACTATGCACCGCATGGTGATGTTGACGTGATCGGTTTCCAGTATGGCCGGCCTGTACGGATGGAGCGCTTTCTTTTTCTCATCGTCAGTCTTATGTTTCTTGCTCTTGTCGTTCGTCTTCGCGTTATCGTCGTCCCCGTCCGGATCCGAGTCTTCTTGGTCGTCGATCGACACATCCAATTTCACTCGAGGAGCGTCTGCAAACCAGAAAAAAACGGTAACAGTTACATTCCCAATAAAATAAGTTGTAAGTATAATAATAACGACTGTTTCTTGTAGCCTTAAATTGCAAAAAAGTTAATAATAATAATAATATTGTAATATAAATACATATTATTATTATAATACAAGATGTACGATGGAACCTCCTTCTTTTTAAAAAGCTTATCACCAACGAAAAAGGTCGTAAGTATAGATACTACTTTTTTGTAATAGCTTATCCCCATCGAACAAGGTCGTAAGTATACTCGTAGATACTACTTTTTTTCTAAGGTAGTATCTCAAAAAAAACCATGAAAGTCTACTTTTTTTTCTTTTTTTTTAATATTTTTTAGTAACACAAACTCTATAACATGTATCCAAATTTTCAAACTGATATGTTAAAAAACAGAATAAGAATTTAATCCTGAAAAGTTGCAAAAAACGAGATATGACCTTTTTCGTTGGGGCACTCGATACATATTATGTTAACTCTTATCTCTTATCAATTATCACTTATCTTTTATCACTAATTGAAAATGAAAGTGTAACGCGAAAATGGCGACATAAAATGTCTTGTACCCAGCCCAATAGCACGTTTATGTTAATAGAATGTTAAATACATACGGTTTTACCATCGTTGAAATACACAAGTTAACGCACAATATTAGTAAGGTTAATGAATATAACGTATAGTTATTTAATGCTCGAGCCATTTAACGCTATTTCTAAAAAATCTGATTTAATTCATACTGGCTCCAAGTGCTAGTCATATAAGTTTAAAAAACTTTGCAGTCCGTTTAGTTAGCCACATATTTAAGAGTCAGTAAAATTTGTTAACATTGAGATAGACGTGTTGTCAATACAATTAGGTTCCTATCAACCCTTTTCCTAAACTTATCGCGTATGAATTTATAAAAGGAATAATATAAACCGGGCAAGTTACCAATTGTGTATAAAGATAATAATAACGCAAATTTTTTTTTTAAATATAAATTCAACGCGTGTGGCGCAACGAATGGCCTTCAATTCGTGTACATGATTATACATCTCTATTCACTTAATTCTTGGCTAGTAGACTATTGTTGGCTCTATTCGATTTTCGTAGGAGATCTAAAGTGCAGATAAATTATTTTGAAAATAAGTTTTTTTAAAAGGCAACGAGCCAACAAAATAAATAATAAAATACAATAAAAGAAATATTTAAATTTGAACAAAACGAAATAACACTAATTTGATACTATTTCAGTTCTATTGTACTGTTTGTACTATATATATATATACATTTTTTTTTTTGGTGACATCGAAATAAGTGAAATCTTATGAAGTAAGCAAAAAGGTGAGCTGCAGTTTGACTAAAACGCCGAAATTACATTTTTCTGGTATACATTTTTAATTTGATTATCGGCTAACCTAACATTTCAATATGTATCATGGGAAGTAACGTGGCAAATTTACTTTCCATGAAATTGGTACAAAAAATGGCTGCCTCCCGGGTTGGGACATTTATAAATCTTAACAAGCGTTCTATATATCGATTTCAGTGGTTCTGTACGATATTACAGCTCTATTTAATTTTGCCGTATGCTTCAAACTCAATTTTTCCTAATTTTATTTCTTTTAAATTTCAAGCTATCATATTTACTAAAAAATTTCAACAAAAAAAAAAAATGACCATAACTTTCAGCCTATACCAAATACTCACAATTCACTGTTAACCGTATGGTGTTGGTGGAATTGGCCGGGCCCACAGAGTTGCGGACAGAACACCTGTATTCTCCAGAAGCACTCCTGTGGGCGTGCTCTATAAGTAGAACCGTATCGTTTATCCTGATGTATTTCATGGCGTTTGACAGTACCCTGCGTCCTCCGGCGCGGTCTCGGTCTTCCACGTTTACCTCCTCACCGTCTCGGAACCTGTGTAGAATTTATTCATTACATATGCCGATTATTGTTTTAAAGTAATGACCTGACATTTATACCAGCTTGTACGCAATAGTAAAGTAAACAGAAGGACTAAAACCAGTATGACCACACACACAAAAAGTCTTCATTGTCTAGTGGTATTCTATATGGTTCATGAAGGAGCTTAGAAAGAAAGTCCATAAGAATTGGGTCGGAAACTTGAATAGTGGAGAGAAGCGCTTGAAGGGAAATGACTGAAGATTGATAGTAGTAAAACGGAGGCAGTCGTGTTTGATTATGGAGAATGCAAATCGGTGATGTTGAAGTGTGTGAGGTTGATAGATTCAAGTACTTAGGATTAGTAGTTAAAAAAAAATGGTGGCTATGAGTAGGACGTGAAAAATAGGACAAATTGGATGGATGAAGTGGAGGAAAGTGTCAGGGGTTTTGTGTGACAGGATAAGATGTTCTGGTATGTTTTTCTTCTAACTAGGCACACTGGCTTTAGTCCTTCTGTTTGCGTCACATTAAAACCACTATTACAGCCACTCCACGGTGACTTGTCAGTAATTGGTCTGTCCGGTAGTATTATTATAGTCATATGGTTCACACGGCAATCTTACCATTTGATCGTAACCGGGTTCATGGGGTTGGCGGTGTATTCGCATCTCATGAACACAGTTTGCGTTTCGTTTACAACAATTTTCGATGGCCGGGTCAGCCAAACGGTAGGCAGGTCTGCAAAATTGTACGGTAGAGTAAGAAAATACGTGAAATAAATAATTAAAAAAATATACTATTATCACAGGTTAGGTAAAACAAGATAGTGCATTCGCCATTGAAATCGTTGGATTGCTGAAAATATAGAAAAAAACCAAAACCTTCAAGGTGAACACTGGTAGAGAATACAAATTCTCAATACTGTTGAGGATAGTTTCAGTTATCAGAGAAATGGTGGAGAGCACCGTCTGGTTTTATCTAAACTGTGTTGTTGTCGAATCAAATTTACTGACATTTCACACGTATGGTCATGTTCACAGTGAGCGGTTGTTGCGCCGTGCCAGGTTTTTCTTCTCCAATCGAATTGTAGGCGTCACACCTAAGAATCGAACCGTCTTGACGTCTGTGCAACGCGGCCATTTCCAGTTGGCTGTGAGTGTCCCTGGTGCCGTCGATCTGTGACAGTGACAATACACAGGTTTAGTAATTGAAAACGACACACACACTATTAACATAGCCGGGGTGTGGGCGTCACACAAAGGAGCACAGTTCACCAAAATCCTAGCCAAAATGAGCACAAATTGATAATGCCAAAAAAAACTGTGAAAACGGGTAGATATAGCAAAAAAAAAAAAAACAAATATAATGTGAATATCATCACCGTAGAGCATTTGTGCGCTAACGGTATGCCATCAATGTTGAATAAACTTTTTTAATTAAAAAAAAAGGCACAGATTTTGTTTAAAATTGTTAAGCTGAAAAATTTGTTCATAAAAATTTTACCGTCGAGTCAAATTTCGGTCACTCTGTAAGTACAAAATGATCCATCTGATGTAAGACAATCATTTTCTGGGAAAATATGAGTATTTTGAAAACGTTTTTTTTTCTATACTTGTAGGTACTTATTTTACAATGTTTTTCAATACTTTGAACATTTTTATGTTTTTTTTCAAATGGATACATATGTTTTTTATTCCATAAATATGTAGACAAAAAACTTTAAAAATAAGGTAACGTTTGAATTTTTAATTTTTATCAATCTGTTAGCTTGCTATGACTTTGTAAAGATATTACATTTCCCCTTATAATATTTATGTCTTATGTTTTTTTTAATTTCAGTATCGTAGCCCAGCAAAAAAAACATGATAACCAGACACAATGAAGTGACAGACTTGCGGATCTTATCTACTTATTCAAACACAGTAACGGTGACAGCCGTTTTTTTTTGGATGTTACTATTATAAAAATCGAACGAATATTGATCTTAAATTGAAATCTTTATAAAATGATATCAAACGAACAGGCTGATGAAAATTAAAAAAAACCAAACGTTAAAATGTTTTTTTTTTTTGTCTACATATTTATGGAACTATAAGCATATTGTGTTCCCGTTTGGATACACAAAGTCTGTACTCCTTTTATGTATAAGGGATGAAGATAAAAAATGACCTGAGTATTGAAAATTATAGTAAAATATGTACCTAGAAGTTTAGGAAATTTTTTTTTTTAAATATTCATACTACTTACATCAGATATCACCCTCTATGTACACGGTTATATATTTTTATTATACCATTTGCTTTTGGAATTTTCCTGTTAAATTTATTGTCATGTTACAAAGGATTTTAGTGTACACATTAAACAATATTATACTGTTTACCCAGCTTAAAAAGGGTTGACAGGGAGGGAATTATTCGTATATCCTTGGAAGAGTCTACCGGATGAAAACTATTGACTTAGGACCATGTAAAAGTTACGATAACAAAATGGAGTCAATTCGTATGCGCCCCTAAACGCAACACTGTCGTCAGATACCTGGTATTCGGTATGCTGAGCAATTTGCACGGTACCCATGACCGGAGCCGGAGGAGTGGTCATCGAATCGTCTGAGCTGACGGATTGACCGGAAAACAGAGCCACCGGTTTTTTATGCTGATCGATTTTTCTCTCTCCTTTGTAGTACATAGTTCTCCACGGGTCCTGGAGTTCGTCGTCGTCGTCGTAGTAATCCTTTTGATAATAGTACCACGTGACGTTGGCCTGAGGTCGGGCGCCTCTGGCTATACACTTTACCACCAAGCCTTCGCCTTCGACCACGTAAGCCGCCGAGTTGGGGTCGGATAGGTCGCTGGTAGCGCCTCCAGCTACCGACGTGACCGTGTGGCTTTCGGAGCCTCCAGAGTCGGAAATGATTTGCACGGATAACGGGCGAACTATATGGAAAAAAAAAGTCCACAAGTAAGCGATCGCACTTCGTATAGAAATATCATACCGGTTAACAACCAGAGATGGGCAAAATGGATCACAACCCCGTTCAACCCTTCAAATTGAAGAGTTCCTCGTAATCCAGTAATCCGGGATTAATAAATCTGCCCATCTCTGCGTGTGACGCAACATAATTACCATTGATTGTCAGGTCCATGTACGAGTTAAGTATGGGCGATCCCACGGTAGCGGTCCTCACGCGGCATTCGTATCGACCGCCCATGCCTCTTTTGACCGGCTTCAACGATAACACGTTACGCGCCATCATTAATCCGTCGGAAAATCGCTTGTACTGATAGTCTAAAAAAAACGTAACGACAAAATATTAATATTAAGAACAAGAACAAAAGTATCTACGATGAGAAAAGTGACAAAAAAATCATGGAACGTATCGAGCGATTATCGCAAGCAAATGCATGGTAAAAAAGGAGAAAATTACCAGGAAAAGGTAAAGGAAGGATTGGCTATGTCACAAGGAGAAACGGGACGATGGGGTTGGATTTCAACGTACCAGTGCCCGCCGACATCGGAGATCCGTTCCACCACCAGGTGACTTGGGGCAAAGGTCTGCCGCGACCGGATTCGCAGTAAAAACGGACGGTGTTGTCTTCGTCGATGGGACCGACCACGTTGCCCGAAGTGACCTTGGTGAACTTCTTGCGGATTTGCACGTCGTCTTCGTAATCGGAATCTTCGTCTTTGACGGTCACGTCGTCGTTTTCGTCGGCAGGCAATACGCCTACGCTTATGTAATCCGGATCGACTGCGGGGCAGATAAATATATATATATATATGACATTTTTAGCATTAGAAGACACAAGCGACAGCTTGTGTTTTGTACTCACTGTATGTGGTCAAATTTATGAACTGCACGATATTGCAAAACTCATTGACTGCGGTGTAGGTGATTTCGCACTTGTACGTTGCCTCGTCAATGGCCGTGATGTTGTCCAAAACCAAATACGCTATTGTGTCGTTGGGCATGTAGCTCCACGACGTTCTATTCATACAAGACAAATTCGCGAAGGCGTTAACAAAATAATCGAAAATTGTTCATAATTAACATTTAACACTCCGGTAGTCGCCGCGTCGTATCTCGAAGATACAGCTGATAGAACGGTCTGCTAAGTTGTGTGTATTTATGCACCGGACCCACGATTATTGCTAGCTCCTAGTAAAGCGACTACTGGAGTGTTAACGGATACACGGTTGAAAGTTTAATAGGTTTGTTTACCTTTCGTGGTAGCCTTTCCTGGGCTGTGCCACCGGGACCGCGGCGCTCCATAGAAAAATCCTACTGGAACCGCGGTACCATTTAACCGAGTGCACAATACCGCATTCCAATATGCTGCGCTCGTCCAGTTCACACGGCAACAGGGCAGACTGACCGATCGGGACGCTTAAATCGCTCTTTTGTTCGCCTGATAATAAAAAAAAAAACAATCAAAATATACATGTTAATATCGTTAGCACTGCTGACAACGTGTATTCCGCTGCCGTTCAAGTCCGACAAGTGTACTATTACATAATAATATTATGATGTGTCATGTGGTGAGCGCAACCGGAAAATTTTTATATTGTACGAAACGACAACGTTAAATAACCTGAAAATAATCTGCCAGAAAATATGTCAAAAGTAACGTGCAAAACATAATTATTCGGACAAAACGCTATTATGGATTTTATCGCAGCCGGTATCAAAGATATTCTACTAATGGAGGAAAACTGTATAAAAAAAAAAAAAAACGATCAATACACATTTTAGCCAAAGCACGTGGCGCAGAGTGAATATGAACTTTGGTAATAGAGGTAACAGATTCGATTCCAAGCATATGCTATCCCCTCCCCCACACATAATCATGATAATGCATCTTTTGAAATTATAATGGATACCGTTAGGGTTGACGGTCTGTCAATTTATCGCCATAGTTACCCGTGTATCGTAATCAGCGATACAACGAAAGTATTTTACCTGATACCCGATGACTGAAATCGACTAATATCAAAGTGTAACTTCCCCTCTACACCTCATTTTTTGAGGGATTTACTTTTAATAAAAAAAAAATTACTGTAGATTCTGAGAATATTTTAAAAGGTTTAGGCCCGTTGTAGATCTACAGTCTGTCTAATTTTCACTTGGAAGGAGTAACAATTTTCTAACTTTTGGTCCAATTAAGTACCTTTTAAGTACGAATTGTAAGTTGAAGGTTTACTTCGTGTAGAAATCATGGTTTTGGGGCTCATAAAAACATTGTGAAAACCACCAAGAAGCTAAAATATATACAGAGGTACCTAAGCACTCAGGCGCAGTCATGTGTGTTCGTTTATACGGATAATAATTTAAAGACGATTTTGTAAAAAGCAAAAAAACAAATCTTGTACATCGAAGCATAGCTGATGTACTCAAAGTCAGATACGACTGCATTATAGTATTTATATATGTATATGTTTATATATATTATAAACATAATATCAACTTACGGGATATGTGAAATATTAAAAGTAAGCAAAATATAGGTACTTTCGTCTGTAGTAAATGAGAAAAAAAGGAAGAGCTAATGGACCGTCGTCTATGCATACAAGTAGTTTATTATATCAAGCGTACAGATGAGCATGTGCAGAGAATATGATATTTAGAACATCCCAGGGGATACGGATCGCATGGATGGATATTATTTTGATTGCCCAGAATTCGAAAAAGATGGATGTGAATAGTTCTGTTAACGGAAGTGAATGTTAAATAAAGCTCGTGTGGAGTACAAGACCCATCCGTGGTTATCAATAGACATTTTTAGATGATGTATGATATATTTGTTTTTTTTTTTGTATTCGTTAGGAGTTTGGGAAAATATTAGTTAAACATTTGGTCATAATTTACATCCTTCTCGTTCTTTCAAACTTCCCCATCGAACGGACGCAGAGATGGATGTGGTGATTTACAATAATTGCACGCCGGAAGTAAATGGAAAAAAAAAATGTTTAAGACTAATTTATATAGCAGGTTTTTAGCTCGAAACCGAGTATGTATTGATTTTACGATTAAGTGTTTTTTTTTTTGGGGGGGGGAGGCTTCTGAGAACACAATAACCTTTTTTTGTAACCGCGAGACCGATTACTTTTATCGGCAGTCCAATCAATCAAAAACCATATCCGGAGGGTTATCTGAAGGGGTCAAAAGATTTCGATTACCGTCTACGGTTCTTCCTTAAAATTAATTACCCATTTTTTGGCACCGCATTCTCTAAATAGGAGGAGTTTGCATTTTTTTTAGGTGTAAGTCTAGAGGAAAAAATTATAAAAATTACACCGTAACAAATATTTTATGTTATGTAATAAAAAAAGGAAACAAATAACTAGGGAATTTACAGAGACTATTATGTTCTGTTCACAAAATTGAAATGGATAACAGCTTGTTTCTCGAATGGTTCGAAACAGCTGTTGTGAGATTTGCGAGGTCCCGACATATTATTATATGAACTAAAAGTACTTATGAACAACTACAACTTTGCAACAACTTTTCAAAAGCAGGTGCACAAAAAAAAAAGACTCCAAGAACAAAAGCGGTATTATTTATAATCTCGGTACAGTTTATTTTATCATCTCTTAAACTACTAGCAACAAAAAGCACCGAAACGGCTTTGATGCTAAACTTGATTGTTAACTTCCTACAGCGCTGTTTTATACAGTTTTCTTTTTTTTTTTTTTTTTAATTAATTTTCTGTTCGGAATGCGGTATGGCCAAAATCTACATTTTTCGCATTAACCGAAAAAAAAAAATATTATTCATACTCTTGAAAAAAAAATGATGTTGGTCTAAATGATTATACCGTCGTTGACGTTAATATCAAAAAATGAAAAAAGACAAATTTTTAACAAGTAATATTCTATTTAGCATTTTTTCCGTTTTATGTGAAAAGAAGTTTAATCATTTTTAGACAAGTATAATATTATTTTTGAGATAAAAATAATTTTATTTTTTTTCGTTAGGTAGCTAAAAAAGTTAGCTTTGGGCCCATAGTCTACAGCAGGAGTATAATTTATGACGGTTTAGGACTCGAGTGTTGTTGCGTTTCATATGTTTTGTGTCAGGAGATTGATTTTGAGGCTATAAAACCGGCAAGGATATAATATTATTATTGGCATGGTATTTTGCCAATACATTGTATGTACCAAGATATTTTTAACATAAACGAAACGCCTACAAAACCGTTTACGGTGTTTACAAAAAAAAAACCGTCCGAGAAAATAAAATGGATTTTAATAAATTACATTCATATGTTTATAGCGTGCAGTCCAAGGCACGCATTTATTTATATAATATGCATAGAAAAAGCCGAGTGCGACAGTTGAATTGTATATTATTGCGAAACGCGAAAACGGCGCAAACGGAGAAACAGAATTGAGGCCATTTATTAATAAAACACATATATTAAATCCGACATGAGCAGATTTACATCCGACCACATGGTGTGCTACGGTTCGGTATTCCCAAAACCCTCGACTTTTGTAATATTATAATTGCAGTTTCCTCCAAATCCTTTTTACCCCCCCCCCCTCCCTAACCACCTCTCCACACACAAAAAAAAAAGCTCTAGTAATACATCATAAACGCTTTCTATGTCGTTCTGGCGAAAAAATGTATGTATTTAAAAGATAAGTAATACAAATGTAGGACAAATAACAGTAGTTAAAAAAAATATGTGTTCAGTCAGCTGCAGTTAGCGCTAAAAACGTTTCAACGAATCTAACTAAAAAATTACTATATAGCTTTGAGGATAATTGTTGTCAACAATGACATTATTACAGTGGAGCTGCTGTTGTTTCTAATATAATGATAATATGTTGACAATAAAAAGTTCTGACTACGTTTTGAAATAATAAAAAATAACATAACACAGCACTTTGAATGTCAACAACACTTAAACCACTAAAGTTACTCGGTATGGTCCTTGAATAGCAAAACGTCAGATTAAAATATATTATTTACTTTGATGCAAATGGCCGCCAATGGCAGTTACTTAATCTTGAAAAAAAAAATACCATCGTACTTAAAACGTTATGATGTGATATTTTTTACTTCTTTAAAAGCCGCGCAGGTTTCACAGGTTAAGTCAACTTTTATTTAGGTTCTTTGTTTCTTAAAAAAAAATGCCGATCGATAACATCTCACTAACATATTCCTAGTGAGTGGATAAAGGTGTTAAGTGCCGTTTTTTGTGAAGTAGTTTTTAGTTTGAACAAATGAAAGAGTTAGGATGTGGTATACAATTTGGCAAAGTATTATAACAGTTGGATGTGTGCATTTGAACATATAATATTAACTGAAATGTTGCCTCCTGAACTGTTTTGAAATTATCAGTTAACATTTATGTCCACTCACTCATGCAGTTATAATGGAACTGTGATATTCTTGCAAAGTCATAGCAAACGAACAGAGTTGTGTCAATTCAAACGGCACCATTTTTGTTAAATATGTATCCATTTGGAAAAAAAACCAAGTCCGTACTTCTTTTACGTGCAAGGTAAGAAAATGAATACTCTCAAAGTCCTATATCGGATTGATCACCCTGTACACATAACATCAATAATGTGTGCACGGAGAGAGAGAGAGAGTACTTAAACCGTACACCAAACTAGTAAACCAAGTCGTAACGCGGATACACTCGGCTGTAGTTTACGGCCCAAGTTTGTTCTTAGGGCGAGCCGGCTTAGGAAAACAGCCACCGTTGCGAGAACCATATTTGCACTCATTTGTTATCCCGGCCACCGAGCAAAAACTTTTACCGCATTCGACGGCGTTGTCCGTTGTAACTCTTGCGCCGCCCTCTTTTTCCTACTTCTCCACACACACACACACACATTACCGTTATACCGCCACTACTAATCACACCGGAAGAGCTCGCCTGCCAGAACAACAACAACCCTTATAACGTCCCGGTGGTGCCCGCACACCATCTACATTATGGTAATGGCTTGCACCTATACATAAGAGTCTTCGACGGGGCCCGAGGGGAGAGGTTAATTGGATTCTTTTTATTTTTTTCCCTATCCTTTTCTCCGACAAAAACTTACCACAACGGATAATGATTTCGCGGAAGAAACGTACAGGGTGTATCAAACGGCTGTAGGTTGTGAAGTATTGGACCTGCAGCGCTCTGGTAGGGTTTGAATGAAAGAGGAAGTTGTCAAGTTTCGAATGACTGCCACTAGACGTCTCTCCCGTTTGTGTCACCAGACTTCATTGTTAAGTTTGTGCGCGAAGCGTAATTCAGTTACGACTATGAAACAACTAGTGTCAGAGATATCTAGTGGCAGTCATTCGAAACTTGACAACTCCCTCTTTCATTCAAGTCTTACCAGAGCGCTGTAGGTCCAATACTTCACAACCTACAGCCGTTTGAAACCCCACCATTCTTTAGGA